GAGTTTGAAAGGGTATAATACCTGGGGATTTCAGACAGATTTGGACGGAAAGATCAAAATCCAAAGGCAAAAACATATATAGTGGAGATTACAGAGATTTGGACTGAGAGATCAAAATCCAAAGGCAAAAACAGGCGGAGGCAATTTTTCCAGATGGGGCTGATTGTTCGTTTTCACATGCGGTTTTTAGATGCCGTATTTAGAGGGGGATATAGAAAAGATCCCAACTTGATGGTCCATCACAACTGGATGATCCATCGGAACATAAACAGAATTTTAAAAAAAAAGGACAAAACAATTCCATGGGTGAAAGAAAAAAGAAATCAACAAGGGAACACAACCATCATACTTGTCTCTCACCCCTCTCTCTCTTCTCTCTCGTTTCTACGCCACTTCTCTCTCTAGGAATGGTCACTAGGGAACACAAGACCACCCACAAACCACCCCTTTCTCTAAAGGTCCGTCTTTTGCAAAATATAGGGCTCAGTGAGAAAAACTGTGATGGCAACCAAAACTGCGAAAAAGAATGAGCAGCTGAGAAATAATAGAGAAAGCAGAGAAGAAAAAGACAAAAAGCTAAAGGAAGGAGAGAGAGCACCTCCCTTCTCTCTCGAGCAGATAAACAAAAAAGAAACAGACCACAGAAGGCTAAACAGAAAAGAGGAATCAACATGAGGCACCAAAGCTAAAGGAAGGAGAGAGAGCTCCTCCCTTCTCTCGAGAGCTGACAAACAAAAAAGAAACAGACCACAGAAGGTTAAGCAGAAAAGAGGAATCAACTTAAGGCATCAAAGCTGATGCACAGGGGGCGGCGGCCCTTTTCTCATGCACGTATCGTAGCGGCAGCAGGTCTGCAGATGCCGGAGTTTAGAGGGGCAGTTTCAGATAACTGGTTCAGATATTTATCGGAGGTGGTTTTACAGAGGCACAGTTTCGAATCAGATTTCAGGGATTTCAAAGAAGGTTCGTAACGGTGCCTGAGATGGGTGTTCTCGAACTTGGGTATTTTCAGATTACTGTAAAGATTTCTTTGAATAGACTCAATCTCTATTAAATAAATGAATTTATTGATGTATTTTTTATAGAAAAATGATAGATGTCAATAATATAAATAAATTTTATATTATATCGAGACTTATCGTAAATATTGTATCTATCTTTCTCAAATATTTATATTGCAATATACATCTTCCATGTTAAAACGATAGACAATATCTATTTTCTTTTCAAATTGGAGCGAGAAAACCTCTTCTCATGCAGAGGGGAATTTTGTTTTCAAATGGATCTTACTGGTAGAAATTGTTATCAAATGAGGGATGTACATTACTTTGGGCATTTCATTGGGAAACAACAACAAAAACGCTAATTCTCTAATTCAATTTCTAATTTTCGCATTTGCTCAAGGCACCACCCTAATTCTCTAACTAAGTTTGAATCCCCTCATGTATTTTAACATTTGGAGATTTGGCAAAAGGTGCAGTTGGCATACGGATGCATAGGTAAGTGTAGCAGTACGGTGCACCTTCAAATTTTATCATGGTATATAATTTTGATGTAAAATGTTGTTAGGGTTATCTCAAAATCTATTTTTATATCTAATTATAAAATTTTAAATTTAAAAAATAATTAAAATCAAGTAGATCTATACACATATGAAAATCTTAAAAATGAACCATATAGATAATATGTTGTAAAATACATTATTTTTTAGACTTTAAATATTTTTATTTTTTATAGTCATCGGCATCGAGGAGAAGATCAATAAAAGGGTCTTTTCAACATTAAAACTACTTTTTCTGATGAACTTTTGAAGTGCATCCCTAGCTCTACATTATAAAGTTGCATCATTATATAAACTATTTTTTCCTTTAGCAAAATCTTGTACTCCATTTGAACCCTCAAACGATTCCTATGATAACTGAGACCAACGCTCAAATACATTGGACTTTCCATTTTTGAGATTTCCCTTGACTCCTTTGTCTCTTAATCCACGGTACAGTAAATGAACTCAGTTTCCTACTCTATTTGGTAGGCACTCAACCTGAACCTCATGTCCAAAACCTTCAAATATTTGCAGCTACAAAGCAATTGGGGCAAATATGAGGGTGACAACTATCCCTGCGAGTTAGTTTGTCTTCTTTTTTTTTGACAATTAAAAAAAAAAAGGAAGAAAAAAAAAAAGAAAAGAAAGAAGGTAGTCATGCACCCTATACATTTAAATGCTTAGGATCCACCTTAAATAATGCTAATGCTTATGGCCCACCTCAAATAAAGCAATACACCCTATACATTGAATGGGATACCATGCTCTCGAGGTACCATACTATAATATTTCTTCAGGAAGAAGAGATACTTGGGAAAATAATTTCAAACTGAATATTTGGGATCCAACTAGTTATTACCGTATGATCGTTTATTTAGAAAAAATTGAACTATGAGTACTTAGATATAACCATTAGAATTTCTTCTTTAAAATATTTCAGATGCCTATGCTCCCCACCTTATATAATGCAATGCAATGTACCCTAAAGTCAACAGTAATTTTTTTGTTTATTTTCTATTTTTTATGTTAACAAAACTTCTTCATCCCCTTCCTTACTCGTTGCGAGGACGCATTGAAAGCAATCGGTCTCCACAGCTTAAGGGTGGAGGCCATTATTCACAAGCTTCAAGTCTCTCCCTCCGTTTTTTTTATTTTTATTTTTATTTTCTTCTTTTTATTTATCAGCTTCATCGGTTTCAGGAATTTTCATGGGGTTATCCCTTTTTTGGTTTTTTTCCCATAATTTTTCTGCGTATTGGCTAGTTTTGTTTATTTCATTTTTCAGAGTATTTGCTTGGTTTTTTTGTGACGTGCAAAGGATTTCATTTACTCCCATGGGTAATACCCTATCTAGAATTAATTTTAGGACCCCAAATTTCGGGGATGTAACTTCTTTGACCCATAGATTAACCGTAATAAAAAAAATCTTAGTACTATGTTTTTGCATTTGAAAGAAACAATGTCTCCCAATTGAATTAGAGACGTTCCAATATTTAGATAGTAAGATCTAAGTGTTAAAAACTCAAATGTAAATTTATTTTTAAAAATAATCATTTAATAATTTTTAAATAATTTCCAAAATTTTATATTGCAAAAATCTTCCAAGTCATCGAATTGAGGAGTAGAAGTAACCTATGCTACCTTGGTAGCATTGTATACGTGCTCAACATTGAATGAACTTCTTCGCGTATTCTCTTTTGCCATACTGCCCAACTATTTATGAAAATGAGAGACCAGACGATATGCTGTGGAAAATTTTGGACCCAATGTGCAAAGGAAATAGTTTATATAGAGAGGAGGCTTTAAACAATCAAATTAGAGCCCACCTTAAAATTTTTTCTAGAAAAGGTTGCTTTGATGCTCAAATATTCTCAAATTGATCATCTAGATATCAAGATGCTTGGATATGAGAAAAAAAAAATTACATTTCAAGTTTTGGAAATAGTGCATCATCTAACACATTTTTGGACCGTCAATTTTTAGATTTTTAAGTTTTTATAGATCTGCCCAATCTATACTATTTTTGAAGCTTTAAATTTTATAATTCGAGATGAAAGTATATTTTAAGGAAAAAGTTTGCATAAGGTTGCAACCTTAAAATGTAAAATTAAAAATGCACCTCAAAAATCCATCAAAAAATGTTGTTTTGATGTTGAAACTAATTGATAATCTCGACATCGAAATGTGTGAATATAGAAAAAAATACGAAAGATTTTGAGTCCTAGAAACAATGCATCTTGCAACACATTATCTCGACCGTCCATTTTCAAGATTTTCATATGTTTATAGATCTACTTGATTTTAACCATTTTTGGAATTAAAATTTTATAATTAAATATGAAAATAGATTTTTAGATAATCTTGAGAATTTTTTACACTAGAATTTCAATTTTGGAGGTACACTTTAATTGGATTGTTTAAGGTTGCAACCTTATACAAACCTCACCCATATTTTGAGGCTATCACAAAGATTTCCAACATTGAAACTACATTTTCTCGACACTGTTTGAAGGTATGCTTTACTTTGATTATTTAGAGCCTCGGATCTATACAAACCGCACCCATGTGCAAAAGTGGTGCTTTGGATGAGATTTATACAAGCTCTCAATCTTATACTATTGAAGTTAGGTGTATCTCAAAACTATGTTAAAAGTACAATTTTGGTGTCGTAAAGCCTTGTAATGATATGAAAATCTATTGTTGCCTCTATTTATGAAATTTAAAGTTTACAAATGGTGATGATCAAGCAGATTAATAATCAATTGAAAATCTTGAAATTGGACAGTCCAGATAATGTGGAAGAAGACAACCATTTTTAGGACTAGAAATTCTTTTTTTTTTCATATCTATGAATCTCAAGGTCGAGTTTCCAGAATGGAACAACCTTCTTGGTTTTTTAGGTGCACCTTACTTGTACAGAATAAAGGTTGACACCTTATATAAAGTTTTTTTGAATGATCTATGTTAGCTAAAGTTTATATATTTTATTTGAGTAATTATCCTATGAGACTCTCCCACACACACTTATTTGTGTAGGATTTCAAAAGATCACCATTAAATTTGGCACAAATCTTTAGAAAAGTTATATGTGGGATTTGACATTTTTATAAATTTGTGTCAGATTTAATGGTGATCCTTGAAAGTCCTACACATGTGGGTGTGGTACGGTCTCACATGGTCATTTCCCATTTTTATTTACAATTTTTCATTTTCTGAACTTTAAAGCTATGCTCTTTACCTAATAGAGCCGAAACCAGTTGACGATAACCATTTCCTCATCTAAATTATTAGATTGACTGCTGACTTCCTTATATTATTGGGTAGGTACCTTGTCTAGACTGCTTATTATACGTTGCAACTTGCTCATTCCCTCCCTACCAATTTTAACCTCTCAATTTTAAAGTCAAGAAATTTATTTGAAACTTCGCCTGCGCAGCTCAGAGAGAGCATAAAATGGAGTCATCCTGAATGTCTCAAGTCTCAAAATACATAATTGGTTACATTTTTATTTTTTATTTTCCTCATTTAACGAAGGTTAATTGGTTCTAGAGGTTACATCTCCAAATTGGGGATTTAGAAAATATTTGTAGTATGAGTTTTTCGTGGGATGTAGATGGACAATACACTCCTATGGGATTGGGAAATGTTTTGCCACATGTTGTTTCCTTATACAATTTAAACCTCTCAAGGAAAACTTTTATATGAGGTTGATATACATGTACGGATACAAAGGAAAAAGATAATTTTAAGTACATCTTATAACAAATTATCTATACCTTCTATTATTCAAGAGTTTCAAGTATTTATTGATTTACCCAATCTGCATCTTTTTTAGAATTTTAAATTTCATTCTTACGGTTCGACGTGGATTTTAAAGCCATTGTCTATTTTATGAATTAGATATTCATCTTTCTAAAAAATGTAGAGATGAGCCTTACTTGTATTGAGATGGGCAACTTATACATGCATTACCCTTTTAAAAAAGAGAAAAGTTTATATAACGTTGTAACTTAATACTATAGAAGTAAGTTGCGCATCAAATATCCAGAAGAAAAGAGCAGTTTGAAGTTCCAAGATATATGTTATAAAGAAAAAATAAAAAGAATATGTATGTTATAAAGAAAAAAAAGAAAGAATTTAAAGTCCTACAAATTATTTGTCTTGTAACAAGCTATTTTCAAGATTTTAAAATGTTTATAGATATGCTCAAATTTTCCCATTTTTAGAATTTAAAATTCGAATTTAGGGTGAACATGGACTTTCAAGCCATCGTAAGGTTTTTGACCCAAAAACTACATCTTCCAAAAAAATTTAGAAGCACACTTTACTTGTATAGTATAAGATGGTACCTTACACAAACCTCACGCTTTAAAATTTTTCTAATTTTAAAGAAGTTATAAATTTATAAAATACATTATTAAATTGATAGACGAGTATATCATATTTTTATATGAAGGATTTGTTATTTCAAACAATGTAAAAGAATATTTCATGATAGATACCTTCTATGACATTTAATGCCAAACATATGGAGTAAAGCCACAGTCGGACCAGTCAAAACCAGTCGAGTACTGATTTTGATTGGCTTTGGACCATAGGTTTTTGCTTTAGACTGGATTTGGTCAAAGCACGGTTGGAGCTTTGACCAGTCAACTGGTCCGGTTTTGATTACTACGTTAAGTACCATTTATTTGGTTTTAGATATCCCACGGAAAGCATTCATGGGACTGAGCCCTTTTAATGTGTTGTTTCGATTATTTATATAGATATATGAAATGGAGACTGATGTGCTGTTTGGGCTTCATTAGCATGAAATACTTCTTTGGACTTAAATACGTCCAACTTATTAGCTACGGAATAGTGTTAGGAATCAATATCTATGTTCCATCACTTATCTTTTTGCTCAATTACTTTTCATAAAAGAGCCCTTTCAAAAAAAAGAAAAAAAAAAAATTCTTCTAAATTACCAAATTAGGACGGATATTCTATAGGACTGAAGCAAATTTGGTAGATGAAATTGTTGAGCATGTTTCTAAGAAGTTGGTGCACAAAACACCACTACATGTCGCTGATCACCCTATTGGGCTCGATTCCGGGGTTGCTGATGTGATGAGACTCCTAAATGTTCATTGTAATGATGTTCGGATGATTGCAATCCGCGGCATGGGTGGCATTGGCAAGACCACTCTTGCCAAGGAAGTTTTCAACCGTATAAAATCTAGGTTCAGAAGCAGCTGCTTCCTCTCAGATATTAGAGAAGAATCACGAACAAATGCTGGAGTTGTCACCTTGCAGAAACATCTTCTCAAGGATCTGTTTAATGAAGAAGATACAAACATACATGTTGTTGATAAAGGCATCAATGTTATTAAGAGTAGAATTGGTTTTAAGAAAACACTTGTGGTATTGGATGATGTCAGTGACCACAAGCAGCTTGAAAAATTAGTTGGTGAAAGTGATTGGCACTGTCGAGGAAGTCGGATCATCATCACCACCAGGGATGAGCATGTATTGAATGTGCGTAATAGAGTACATAATCATCATATCTACAAGCTTGAGGGATTGAATAACACACAATCTCTTCAACTTTTCAGTTGGCATGCATTTGGGTTGTGGTATCCACTCTTGATGGGCTTCCCTTGGCTCTTGAAGTGTTGGGAAGTTACTTATGTGACAAGAAAACTATTCAAGAATGGGAAGATACAGTAACTGAGTTGAAAAAAATTCCAAAAGAAGATATCATGCAAAAGCTTAAAATAAGTTATGATGATTTGAATGAAAAAGAGAAGAAAATATTTCTCGACATTGTATGCTTCTTCATTGGAGAGAACAAAGATTATACAATCGATATATGGAAAGGTTGTGGACTCCCTGCTTCAATTTCCATAAACAGGCCCTTGCAAAGGTGTCTTATAAAAATTGATGGTGGGAATTGCTTGCGGATGCATGACCAAATCCGTGCTATGGGCAGATGTATTGTTGAACTAGAAAATCTCGATGATCCTGGAAGCCGTAGTAGGTTGTGGGATCAAGATGAAATCTTTGATATGTTGAAGAATCACAAGGTGAGGATTTCCTAACCAAGCTCGTTTTTCTCTTCTTGGGTAGAACTTCTTCTATCCATTGGACTCTATTTTATCAATGGCGATTAATTTAGATACATCATTATTTTAGCATCTTAGAATTTGTCTAACTTTTATTTTTGTTGTCACTTAGGGAACTAGTAAAGTTCGAAGCCTAATGCTCAAGGGGAACGGACAGGAGCAGAGTTTGGAAACCGAAGCATTTAAATCTATGACCAATCTGAAGCTACTTAGCATCAGTGACACATGTCTTATTGGAAGTTTGAAATATCTTTCATCAGAATTGATGTGGCTAAAATGGCTACGATTTCCTTTGCGGTCCCTCCCTGATGATTTTAGGCCTGAAAATCTTATTCACCTTGACTTGTCAAAAAGTGATGCTGTCTTTGACTTGTCAAATGGCAACAACAAGCAGGTGGGGAGCTTAACTTGTATTTAACATCGTCTTGTACTGTTTCGTTTTTCTACTTTTTATCTTGCATAATTGAAAAACTATCATGGCTAATATCTTCCTTGCCAACCATCTGTTTTTGGACAGCTTTTCCCAAAATTGAAGATTCTTAAACTCACAAGTTGCGGTAACTTGGAGAGAATTCCCAATTGTTCTCTATACCCAAACTTGGAGATACTGATTCTTGAATTTTGCTCGAAGTTGGTTGAGGTTCCTGATTCCATAGGTGTTCTAAGGAATTTAGTCTATCTGGATCTTAAACGCTGCTCCAGCCTCAAGAAACTGCCAGATTCGTTGGGCTCACTAGCGAAACTCGAGGAGTTGGATGTGAGTTGTGACTACAAGCACTATGGACAGTTGAAAGAGCTCCCAGAAAGCTTGGGAAGTCTTACAAGTTTAAGGACTCTCAAAATAGGATTCAATACTAGTTTGACAAGGCTCCCATCTACTTTCTCAGGTCTTTGCTCCTTGGAGAAATTGGATGCAAGATATTTTAACCTGCAGGGGATGATCCCAGATGACCTTGAAATGTTATCCTCATTGAGAAGCTTGAATCTCAGTGGGAACAAATTCCGAGCCATGCCTAGTAGCATGAGGGGCCTTTCTCGATTAAATAAGATGAATATAAGTGATTATAAGCTGCTAGTAGCTATCCCTGAGCTCCCCACTAGTTTGGAATATCTGTATGCTATTGATTGCGTGAATCTGCAAAGCATACCCAAGCTATCTAAACTTTCTAAATTACAACATCTGGATGCTAGTAGTTGTGTGAATCTGCAAAGCATACCCAAGCTATCTCACCTTTCTAAATTAGAAGCACTGTACATAGATAATTGTGAGCAATTGGTAACTATCCCTGAGCTTCCAACCAGTTTGAGGGATATGGGTGCTTGGGACTGCAAAAGTATACAAACCTTGCCCAAGCTATCTCACCTTTCTAAACTAGTAGAGCTGCGATTAAGTCTTGGTAATCATCTAGTTGATTTCCCTGATCTTCCCACCAACTTGTTATATCTGGATGCTTCCAGATGGAAAAGCTTGCAAACTTTACCCAAGCTATCTCACCTTCCTAAGTTAATGAGTTTAACTGTTAAAGATTGTGGCAAGCTGTTAGCTATCGAGGATCTTCCGACCACTTTGAGGACTTTAGATGCTTCCAACTGCCCATTGCTGCAAATCATACCAAACCTCTCTCACCTTTCTCGACTTGATGATGAAACTCATAAACTGTAAGAGACTGGGTGAGATACATGGCCTCAGTGGGTTGAAATCCTTGAATACATTGTACTTGATTGGTTGCAACCCTCAGGCATGGAGGCCACCAAAGGTGTGTTACTTCCTTTGCAAGAAATTCGTGCTCTTTGGTTTTTGAGGTACCATTACATCTGCGACCGCTAAGTTCTGTTTTTCTTTTTATTGTTCTGTATATGTAGGAAATAATTACAAGCTTGAGATGGTTAAGAGTTACTGGAAGCAAGGTTCCAAATTGGTTCAGGATATCGAGAATCCAGATTGGTACAGGAAGCAAACTGTGTCGTGCATAGTGCCTCTGAAAAAGGCCTTCATATTAGAGAAATGGTGTGCCTTGTTGTTCATTCCCATGATGTTGGTTGCACTCACTCGCCGCATGATGTTAAGATATCTCTCAAGAGGGAAGGTATGGTACTTTATATAAGTTCGTTATCAGTTGATACAGGGAAACCACGAAAATATTATTATTTTTTTCCTTATTCGAGCTAGCTGGAATAGTGTGAGTCGAGTGGACCATATGGTAGGGGGGAGATCAAATTGAACTCGTTTGTGAAATTGAAGCCACAAATGAATTAGGGCCATCGATGACATCGCCGAGCATTCTTTTGAAGGCGGCAGGGATCCATTTTATATACAAACCAGAAGACACCGAGGATTCCATTTTTGAAAAACTGGCTGATTTCTTCAATTCATTGTATCTTCGATGAAAATTTGCAGCCTCAGCATTTCATAAGGTACCAATAATTTTTGGTTTCGAACTTTCGATTACTAAATTGTACTTTCTTTTTATATAACAGATGGATTCACAAATGACTTCAATGTCAGCTGTGTTTTTATCAATGAGTTTCAATGAAATACGTGCTTTTGCCTCCTTCCTATCATTCTATTGATTCCCAAATGCCTCCTATAAACAAAAGACTTGCTAAAAAAAAATTATAGTTAATCTTGAGCAGCACAGCTTGATTTATACTTGGACTAAAGAAAATCTATAGCTCTCTCTCTCCTCCCATGTGTCTGCCTGGGGGCGTGCCAGCTTGATATAGCTGAAGAATTTTATAGATATATGAGTTCATTAAACATGCAGTTGTTCTTTTGGGTATGGCAAAGATGATGAGTTTGCCAAATGTACAGAAGGTTGAGCTGTCACTTTTTATGACGCTTTTGGTTATTTCCTCGTTTGGGTGGAGTAATTTGATTGAGAAATTCAACAACAATTTTAGTGAAAACAACTTTCAAATAGAAAGGATCTTCTTCTATTTACATGTCTGTTCTATTAGATCAGAGATTAGCATCTTAACTTGTTGCAGGATAAAGGTCTTTACTAGCTATAAAACCCATCCATCGCCTTCTGATAAAACCAGGATTCCTCTCAGAAACCTCCTCATTAACCATTAAATTAATTGTTATGCTTATGTGAAATGTGGTCCTGTTCATATGCCAAACAGTTGTTCGATGAAATTCCAGAACCAAGTTTCGTCTCATTTACAACCATTATTTTTGCTTATTCTCACTCAACCCAACCTCAAAACTGCTTAATTCTTGTAACGCAGCTGCAAATTCATGGCTTCTTACCATATGAATTTGGCTTCTTGAGCCATTTGATGGCTTGTTCAAGCCTCAAAGCTGCAACTCTAGGCAAGTAAATTCACATACAGGTGATCTTCTCTACTTCTAGTTCAAACCCCTTTGTCCAAAAAGCCATGCTTGATTTATACTGCAAAATTCGGGAGAACGCAAATTGTGTTTTTTATGAATTTCCAAGATGTGATATTGTGCTATATAATGCCATGATCGTGGAGTTTTTGAACTTCGTTCATGGAGATATAACTGTTCTACTCTTTGGGCTCTAAGGATTGTGCTAAGAGAATCAGGGGAACTGGTTCAGGGTTTTTTTTATATTGGGTTGGTTTGTAATGGATTTATGGGGGTTGCTCTTCTCAATATGCATAGTAAATTTGTGGATATGTCAAGTAAGAGAAATTGCCTCAATGGGGTTTCGACATGGCCTTGTGGAATGGTTAATTGTAGGGTAGTCTCATAATGGCCTCTTCGAATTTGTGGATATGTCAAGTCTTGACATCCCCCAAGGCATCACTCATCTATTCTGAAGATAGATGTACAATGGTGGTTCCTCCAAAAAAGATAAAAGTCAACAATCCAAAAATTTCTTCAAATATTTAACTGAAAACTCCTAAAAACCTAATACCTATGACCCATAAGAACCGTAATTTTATAAAATTTATTCATCTTCATATCTACATGCATCATCACACTTTGATCCACTGGTATTGATGATTTCACGGTTGTAAATTTTTTTTTTTTTGGATGTTTTAGTGTTATAAATTTTTGATAACATGCCCTCTTCTTACTTTTTCCAAAAGAACAATTTGCGTTATCACTTCAGTCAAAAATGAACACTTGTCAATTTTTTCTTGGGAAAACTTTATGTGAACATAGCAATTATCAAATCTTTGATAGAAGATCACTTTTTTACTTTCTGTGTGCCAAAGACTGAAGAAATGAGGCCTTTGTTTATTTATTTGGAAGGTAAATGTTTTAGTGCCTGTGCTCAACCACTGTATTCTTGTGAGTCCGCACCTTATTATTGCACGTATTCTGATTTTGGATATAAAATTTCACTAGTCCATAATCTCTACTACCAATGATTATCTATATGAAGAAATTTCAATATTAAAATAGTGTATTTTAGGTTTTTTATTTCAACCATTCATTTAATCAGGTGACCGAACTCACCCGTGCGCACTCCGAGTAGGGCAGGCAAGTAACTTAACATCACCCTATTCCGAGTTGTATATACCACTCCGGGCATATAAAATGTAAATTTAAAAATTGTAAAAACTTATAAATGTTATATAATTTTTTTAAAATATGATTGGATTTCTATATTTTTTGTTTTTGAATTTTTTTAAATCCCTTGTTTCTCTACTCCTTTAAGCTTATTTTAACTTCTAAAGCTGCTTTTTGTTTATTTTACTTTTACTAATTTTTTTATTTTTTTAAAATTTCCTTTTTCTAAATTTATTTAGGGCCTTTGGTCCATGTACGATTTGGTCTAGTGACTCACCGTGACCAACGGCCGAGTCGTTTGGATGAGGCGAGTTAACACACTCGTTTTGATTATTGGCATGCCGTAGGAACTTCTTTAATTTTCCAGCTGCAATTAATTCGAACTTCTTCATTTCCACAATACACTTTTTATTCTTTAAATTAGAACAATTTCAATATTATGTGGAAATATTATATGATCGAGCTTGAACCGAAGTTAGGACTACAATTTTTTACCCTTAAATTTAGGGAGCCTTTTCAACCTAGTGAGAATCTCAATAAAGAAATACAAAGCGCTTCTTATGTGCTTGAAATAACACTATAAGATAAAATAAAAAGGAAATGTTTCTATACTTCCCCTACAACACAGAAGATCTATGTTTCCTCTACCATCCAGCCGTTCAATTTTGATCAAGATAGCCACTTATCGTTTGATATTAGATCTGAAGTCTCAAAGTATTTTATTTTTGGTTTTTTAATACAAATAGTATGAATATGAAATGTGCCATCTTCTCATTGGGGCGCACCTATAAAAATTATTAAAAATAATTTTTTGATAAAATATAAGGACCAAAATACTTCTTGAAAATTTTAGAGGTATTTTAATCATTTTATTTTATTGAAAATATTATTTTTTTATATTTTTCACTAGTACGAGTTTAATAGAGGATTGGACATCCAAACTTTGTTGTCAAAATAGTTTATAGAAAAAAAATTTAAAATAAAATAGTAAAGAGACGTGATGTTGTGATTGAGGCAATCTTAGCCTTCCATTCAGAATGGGCGGTTGGATAAGGAGAAGTATATAAGTTTCATGTGGTAAGAAAAACATAGAAATATTGCCCTAAATAAAAAGCATCTAAATTTTAGATGGTCAAATCAAATCACTCAAAATCCAAAACCATATCTTAATTCTTTGGCCATTTCCAAAAAAAAAAAAAAAAAAAATAACGTACTACAATCAATCTTTGGATCTCTCCAATTTTACCTATGTGAGATAGAGGGGTGGAGAGAGAGAGTATTGGCTGTGTTCTTTTGTACTAAAATACCAAAATGCTCCACTTTTCTAATAGCTTTAATCCACTTAGCAGGAATCCTTTTTGTGATTGTAATGTGTGGTTTCCCCCACTTGATGGGCAATTTTCTCTTTCAACATCTAGATATAATTTTGCATGACATATGATCTCCCAGATAATCCTAGAGTTAAAGATTTGTTTGATACGTACTCTTAATGGTAGGCCATTTTTTTTTTTTTTTTATGGGTCACAGGTTTCATTTTTTATGTTTGATTTGTGGAAAACGCAGCATTGGAAGCCATGTCTTCCACAAAAATGTCTCCTTACACAAAAATTGGAGCCCGCCAAAAACGGATGTTTCCAATAGGGGAATCAACACTGTCGCTTTAATAAATTATTGGGGAAAATTAACGAATCGCATATAAGAAATGAAAATTTTAATATCTTACTATTATCACCTTAGAATATATAACTAAGGTGCACCTAAAAAATTCATGGAAAAAGGCCACTTTAATGGTGAAAAATCCTCTAAATGATCATCTCAACATTGAAATGTATGAAAAGGGAAAAAAAAAATTGAGTCCAAGAATAACGAATCTTGCAAAGCATTATTTAGATCGTCTATTTTCAAGATTTTCATATATTGTAAATCTAATTTTTTGAATACTATGTCGAGTTTAGAATTTTATAGTTAGCTAAAAAAATGGATTCTCAAGCGATGCAAATATTTTTTATTATAACTTTACACCATATAATGAATTTTGGAGTGCACCTTATTTTGATTATTTAAAGCCAACACCTTGTGCAAATTGCACCCACCTTTTATGGAAAGGGTGTAGTTTGCACAAGGTGTCAGCCTTACCCAATCAAAATAAAGGTCAATTCTAATATTACTAAAACATCTCATTTTGGTGGCGAAAACCCTCACCTCTAATTATAATATTTATAGTTCTCAAAATGACATAGATAAAGCAGAACTATAAATACTTACAATTTTCAAGAATTGATGGTATAAATTTTAATGATGAAATGTATGATTTTTTTATATTGAAATAATCCTTTTAGATCGAAATCTAGGGTGCACCTTTTACACTTTTAGATTGACACCATATATTTAAATGGTCTCTTTGTAGACAGTCCCTTTTCATAATTATATATATAGGAAAAGTTGTGGTTAGCCAATTAGTTAACAACTACAATGTTAGTTCAACAGCTTAGATTGAATCTGAGTCGATCTAATAGCCACGACTTCATTTCATAATATAATTTTAGTATTTTTTCTACAAATCCAAATCAAATGAAATTTTAGAAGTCCATTCTTTGCATTAAAGACGCACCTAATAAAAATATTAAAAAAATAATACACAAAATATAAATTAATAAACATACCCTTGAGACATTTGAAAGGTATTTTGATCAATATATTTTTTTTATAAATGATTTTTTAATATTTTTATTAGATTCTTCTAATTTTAAAAGAATACCTGCTCAAAATTTCAAATGATTTAGATTTAAAAAAAAAAAAAGAAGATTAAAATATGAAATAAAATTGTGACCATTGCCATTGGGCTAAGATTGTAGCGTTAACTAGTGTGCTAACTGCAGCTTTTCTCTTATATAATTATGAAAAATGATTTTCTACAAAGAGACAATTTATCTTTTGTATATGGAGGTTACGATCATTCTTGTCCTTTAAATTTCATAATGGGTGGTTGTAAGATTCCATTGAATATACACAAATTCCAAAAAAAAATTTTTGGTCTTCGTGTCTTATCCCAAGCCATCCAATTTAACATCTAATGAATGAGAATAATTGTCAGTTTTATGTACAAAAGCAAAATGGTATTTTTGTAAACGATCTCTTCTGAAAAACCATAAAGCATTAACCTTATAAAAAAAGAAAGAGGAGGATGCTCTATCTTGCTAGGAGTTCGTAATTTTAGAAAATCCTTATAATGACGAAAAGTTTATATAGAGCCTAGGCTCTAAATAATCAAATTAGAGCTTAGCTTAAAACTTTCACTAGAAGATGTTGTTTTGATGCTCAAATATCATCAAATTTATCATTTTGACATCAAGATACATGGACATGAGAAAATAATGGATTTCAAGTTTTCAAAATAATGTATCTTGTAACACATTTTTTTACTGTCAATTTTTAAGTTTTTATAGATCTACTCGATCTACACTATTTTTTAATATTTAAATTTTACAACTAAAGATGAAAATATAATTTAGAGCTATCAGCCTATCACAAAAATTCCAAATATTGAAACTATATTTTTTGACACTATTTGAAAGTGGGAGCAAGTTTGATTGTTGAGAGCTTCGGCTCTATACAAACCACACCCTTTTCAATTTAACTGACACATGCGTCCAAGAGTGAGGAGCTCCATGTATTAAACGACCGTACAAGTACAAACTTAAACCAAACAAGTAGTTTAGAATTTCACTAGCAGATTTGTACCCTTATTTAGAAGTTGGAATTTGAATCAAGCGTATTTTAGAAAAGAAAAAAAAGAAAAGAAAAGATGTGTTCGTCTAGGCACAAAATCCAAAATTAAATTTACTCAAATATTACGATACATTTTAATATATTTCACATCTAAGAGCTAAAAGTTATTGTGATCTCCTTGTCTTATAGCATACAATCCCTTGATGGTGAAATAGTAAGAGAACAAAAATTTCTGCCAAAAAAAATCAAGTCTCTCAAACAATAAAACTAAAGTGTGAAGCCTTTTGTTTCTTTCTTTGGCCTCTTTATCTTTCTAACTCCCCTCGTTCTTTCTCAATCACCCCCTTTATTTATTTAATTATTTATTGTTTTATGTTCATCCCTTTTGGTTTCTCTATCCCGAGCTCCTTCACTCCCCCTCTCTTTACTGGTAAAAGAAAAATAACTATTTTTCTTTTTGGACTAGAATACAAAAAAGAAGAAAGTAATTCTTTTGTGTACTCTATTTTTGTCTCTCTTGATCAATCTCTGAACAAAATTCTTTTATCTTTTTCCTTCCCATCAAATCTCTCTCACAATCTTTTCAACCTACTATGTTTATCCTCTATCTACTTTCATCCCCCCTCTCTTCTGTTTCAATCTTTCCCTCACTCAAGTTCTTTCTCATCGCCATCCCTTTTTGCTCTTTATTTTCCTTATTGAGCATTTCTTTGGTTTTTCAGAACGGACTCAAGGCAAGGCATGGGTGGTCAGGCTGTGGGTGTCACAACATAACGTCTTTGATTACATTCTTACCACGAATACGAAACTTTTTCCCAGTTATCGACAAAAAGAACAAAAAAATGTTATCTTGCTTTGTTCTCTCCCTTGATCACTAATGTCTTATCACAATTCTGTAAATCTCTTCATGAATGACATGAATAAGTGTAAAGGGGATTTTCTAGATAATGGTATTTCCTTTAACGGTATTTCTCATAATTCTGTAAATCTCTTCATGAATTACATGAATAAGTGTAAAGGGAATTTTCTAGATAATGGTATTTCCTTTTAACGGTATTTCAAAAGGGTACATATGAAAATTATATCTTGGATGTGGTTAGGGAGAGTCAGGTGCCATCCATTGTTATGCGTTCTTTTAAGAATCAAATATCCATCTCTAAGTTGGAACTGATATCCCTACTAAAAAGCGAAAATTGACGGCGATACAAAATTTAAAAGAACTAATTTTTATTTCTCAAAAAGAGAAATTAGAGATTCATAACAAATTATAAAATTTTAGATTCAAAATCAATGTTTGTGATGAATTTTGAAGGAGGCCCACAAATAACTTATCAAATACTTCTCTAAGTTTTATTGGTTGGTATACTTCAATCACTTCTTCAAAAAAAAATTACTATTTTAATATTATATTTTCCCTTTTTTTCAAAAGAAGAATACTTTTCTTTTCTCTTTTGCGTATATTGATTGACTAGGCACATCAACGGTTTTCTAAAGTGATTTTAACTTTTTGAATTTGGGTGCGGTTTGTATTGACTAAATTTTTGTGATAGGTTTAAAATATATTTTTATATTTATTTATGAAGTTTGAAGCTTCAAAAATAGTGTGGATCGATAGATTTATGAAAATTTGAAAATTAACTGTTAAAAAATGTGTTACAAAATACACTATTTTTAAAATTTGAAATCTTTTTTTTTTTTCATGTCTATGCATCTTGTTGTCGAGATGATCAATTTGAAGATATTTGAGCATCAAAACAACCGGTGAACGTTTTGAGGTAGGCTCAAATCGTTCACGTTTAGAGCCTGGCTCTATATAAACTTTTCCCGGCTCCTTTTTTTTTTCTTTTAAAAAAGAAGATGCTCCATGTTCACATTTGCCTTCTTTTTTGTTATAATACTTGGGAAAGTATTTCCCATTCTATTGCCTTTGTTGAAAAATTTATGTGAACACGACAGCCGTGTTGGATAGAGGAGATGAAATCTTTTTACGCAACGTTTATGTGACTCTGCTGAACCACTCTATTCTTATGAGTTTGCATCTTATTATTGCACCTACACCGATTTTGGATATAAACTTTCACAAGTCCATAATCTCTATCATCAATGACTAGGCACAGGAAGAAAATTGAAATTTCACTCTGAAAATCATGTATTTTATTTTTTTCAACCATCATTTTGGTTCTTCGCATGTCATCAGAAATTATTTTTTTTTTGTTTCTAGCTGGAAATATTATATGATCGGGGATTCGCCATTTGCTCCATTCGCCCACTAGTAAAATCCAATCGAGGAGTACGCTTTTAGACCCTTAATCTTTTTTTAACCTTTAATTTTTTTCGAAAAAGATTTTATAATCCGCCATAAATTCTCTCGTGCAAAATCCACTCTAAGAGTACTTTCCTCATAAAATTGCTTTAAAACATAGTAACTGATTTCAAAAAAATTCCACTCTAAGAGTACTTTCAGTCCCTTAAATTTTGAGGGGTAGCCTTTTCAACCTAGTGAAAAAACACAAAAAAAGAAAATTAAATTTTAAAGCACTCCTTACGTGCTTGAAACAAATTACAAAGTCTGATTAAATGGAAATTATCAATTTTTTGGATGGTCTTATCTAAGCACTCAAAACTTCAAAATCCAAAATCATATCTTAATTTAAAACTATATTGAAAAAAAATACCGAAGGTCGGTCCCTTTTGAATGAGGAACTAAGTGAACAAAATGATCCAGCGGGAGCATGGAAAACACTCCCTCTTACGAAATCTCTTAAAGACTAAACTTCATGGGTCAAAAGTAAGCAAATTGTTGTGACCACACAGTGTTGCTGAAAAACATTGTATAAACTCAGTACCACTTGCCTCACCTGCTAGAGAGAGAGAGAGAGAGAGAGAGAGAGAGAACCCAAATCAAATCCATGGCAGTTTTTGACAATAAATCCATGGAAGTTTTCCTGAACTTCTGTGATGAAGGCACAGGAAAGAACTTCACAGGCCATCTCAACAAAGCTCTCACTGATTCCGGTATCTCCACCTTCTTACCCACACAGCAACAACATCAGCCTAGTGATATACAGAGAGCCATTGAAGGGTGCGATGTTTTTATAGCCGTCTTTTCCCGCAACTATGCTTCCTCTTTCTTCTGCCTTGACCACCTCTCTTATTTACTCAGTTTGTCTAAGAGAGAGAGGCTTATCCTTCCTGTGTTCTATACCGTGGAGCCTTCGCATGTCCGCTGGCAAATGGGGCCCTTCGAGGAAGCTTTTGTAGATCACAAAATTAAGAGTGGGTTAGCTGAGGAGATAATGCAGAAGTGGAGAAGTTCTTTGAAAGAAGTTGCGGATTTTAATGGTTGGAATATGAAGGACTTCAGGTACAACCAATTATCATGGATTTCTTGAGTAAAAAGAAAGAAAGAAAGAAATCTCTCTCTCTCTCTCTCTCTCTGCACAGCCTATAGAACCTAAAGGAAGAAATATAAAAAATACAGACATATGTATGCATTATAAAAAGGAAAATTGTCTCGTGCACCACAGCCTATAGAACTTAAAGGAAGAAAAATAAAAAATACAGACATATGTATGTATTATAAAAAGGAAAATTGTCTCGTGTACCGCATGACTACATATGCGGTCCAAAAAAAAATGCAAAGCATCCGTCAAAAAAAACAATGAAAACCAAGGATCAAAATGTTTTTTTACTAGAATTATTATTTTTAGTTTTTAAAATTTATTTATTTTTTCATATTCATGATCTCCAAGTCAGGGATTACATGTGCTAAAAAATTAAGTCAAAAAATCAACCTCAAAAATAGATTTATTAATAATCCTGTATTTCTTCATATGCGCGGGCTTGGCCGCATAGAAACTAGGTCCCAGCCTAGTATTTCAAAAATTCGATCACTTGTTAATTTTTGTTTCTCTGTTTATTTATTTATTTATTCATTGAGCAGTCTGATGCACACTGACATTTAAACCTATTAGTTGAAAAATCTGTTAAGAGTTGACATCTAAACACATTAGTTGAAATTTTTCTAATTAAATATATTAGAGAGCAGATACACCATACTCTATATTTACTCCCTTGAGAAAAGCATTTACTTGGGAATTGTTTTTAATAAGAAATTTTGGGATCTATTTAAATATAGCTAGATAACTATTTTCAAAGAGAAAAGATTTGGATCTTGAATTCCTAAACATCTATATCTTTCCTTCCAAAATTTGGACAGTTCATGTGGCATCTTGGGATGTCATTTGTTTTTAGGCATGTAAAGGGGGAGAGTTACATTTATTTATTTATTTATTTAATTTTCCCCCCATTTGACGATGGTTTAATTGGTTCTAAAGGTTACATCTCCAAAATTAGGGATTTAGAAAATATTCCTAGCATGAGTTTTTCCTGGGGTGTAGATGGACAGTATACTCCCATGGGATTGGGAAATGTTTTGCCTAATTTGGATATGTTGTTTCATTATGCAATTTAAACCTATTAAGGAAAACTTTTATACGATTTAAACCTTTTAAGGAAAACTTTTATACAAGGTTTATTGCCGACATAAAGGAAAAAGATAATTTTAAATACATATTGTAACAAGTTATCTATACTTTCTATTTTTCAATATTTTCAAATATTTATTGATTTGCCTAATCTGTATCTTTTTTAGATTTTTAAATTTCATAATTCCGGTTTGACGTGGAGTTTAAAGCCCTTGTATGTTTTTTGAATTAGATATACATCTTTCGACAAAATGTAGAGATGCGCCTTACTTGTATAGAGGTGGGCAACTTATACATGCGTTACCCTTTTAAGAAAGAGAAACGTTTATATAACGTTGTAACTTAATACTATAGAAGTAAGTTGCGCATCAAATATCCATAAGAAAAGAGTGTTTTGAAGTTCCAAGATGTATGTTATAAAGAAAAAAGAAAAAGAATTTAAAGTCCTAAAAATTATTTATCTTGTAACAAGTATTCCAAACCTTGTATTTTCAAGATTTTAAAATGTTTATAATATGCTCAATTTGTCCCATTTTTAGAATTTAAAATTTGAATTTAGGTTTGAACATGGACTTTCAAGCCATCGCATGGTTTTTTACCCCAAAAACTTACTTCCAAAAAAATTTAGAAGCACACTTTACTTGAAGTTTTCTAATTTTAAAGAAGTTATAAATTTATAAAATGCAATATTAAATTGATAGAGGATTTATATCGTATTTTTATATGAAATATTTGTTATTTCAAATAATGTAAAAGAATATTTCATGATAGATGCCTTCTACGACATTTAATTCTAAACATATGGAGTAGAAGCGCAGACAGACGGGCCAAAACCGGTCGAGTATTAATTTTGATTGGCGTTAGACCATAGGTTTTGCTTTAGAGTGGATTGGCCAAAGCACGGTCGGTGCTTTGACCAGTCAACTGGTCCGGTTTTGAGTACCATTTATTTGGTTTTACCGATTAGATATCGCACGGAAAGCATTCATGGTACTGAGCCGTTGAAATGAGTTGTTTCAATTATTTATATATATGAAATGGGGACTGATGTGCTGTTTGGACTTCATTAACATGAAAACTTCTTTGGACTTAAATACATCCATCTTATTAGCTAGGAAATATTGTTAGGGAACATGGTTATCAATGTCTATGTTGCATTAAATATCTTTTGCTCAATTACTTTTCATAAAAGAGCCCTTTCAAATTTTTTTTTTTTTCTAAATTGCCTGATGAGGAAGGATATTCTATAGGACTGAAGCAAAATTGGTAAACAAAATTGTTAAGCATGTTTCTATGGAGGTAGTGCGCAAAACACCACTACATGTCGCTGATCACCCTATTGGGCTTGATTCCCGGGTTGCTGATGTGATGAGACTCTTAGATCTTAATACCAATGATACTCAAATGATTGGGATCCATGGCATGGGTGGCATCGGCAAGACCACTCTTGCCAAGGCAGTTTTCAACCATATTAAATCGAGCTTCACAAGCAGCTGTTTCCTCTCAGATATCAGAGAAAAATCAGAAAATATTTCTGGAGTTGTCACCTTGCAGAAACAACTTCTCAATGATCTGTTTAATGAAGAAGATACAAACATAAACGATGTTCATAAAGGCATCAATGTTATAAAGAGTAGAATTGGATCTAAGAAAATACTTGTGGTATTGGATGATGTCAGTGACCACAACCAGCTTGAAAAATTAGTTGGTAAACGTGATTGGCACTGTCAAGGAAGTCGGATCATCATCACCACCAGGGATGAGCATGTATTGAATGTGCATGATAGAGTACGTAATCATCATATCTACAAGCTCGAGGGATTGAATGACACAGAATCTCTTCAACTTTTCAGTTGGCATGCATTTAGGAGGGATGAACCCATGCAGCAATATGTCAAGCTCTCAATAGATGTGGTATCCACTCTTGGTGGGCTTCCCTTGGCTCTTGAAGTGTTGGGGAGTTACTTATGGGACCAGACAACTATTCAAGCATGGGAAGATACAGTTACTGATTTGAAAAAAGTTCCTAATAATGATGTCATGCTAAAGCTTAAAATAAGTTATGATGGTTTGAATGAAAAAGAGAAGCAAATATTTCTAGATATTGCATGCTTCTTCATTGGAGAGAACAAAGATTATGCAATCGATATATGGAAAGGTTGTAGACTCCCTGCTTCAAATTCCATAAACAGGCTCTTGCAAAGGTGTCTTATAAAAATTGATGGTGGGAAGTGCTTGCGGATGCATGACCAAATCCACGCTATGGGCAGATGTATTGTTGAACTAGAAAATCTCGATGATCCTGGAAGCCGGAGTAGGTTGTGGGATCAAGATGTAATCTTTGATATGTTGAAGAATCATAAGGTGAGGATTTCCTAACCAAGCTCATTTTTCTCTTCTTGGGTAGAACTTCTAGCAAATTATACGATTGGACTCTATTTTATCAATGGCGATTAATTTAGATACATCATTATTTTAGCATCTTAGAATTTGTCTAACTTTTATTTTTGGCTGTCACTTAGGGAACTAGTAAAGTTCGAAGCCTAATGCTCAAGGGGAACGGACAGGAGCAGAGTTTGGAAACTGAAGCATTTAAATCTATGACCAATCTGAAGCTACTTAGCATCAGTGACGCATGTCTTATTGGAAGTTTGAAATATCTTTCATCAGAATTGATGTGGCTAAAATGTCCTTTGAGGTCCCTCCCAGATGATTTTAGGCTTGAAAAGCTTATTTACCTTGACTTATCAAAAAGTGATGCTGTCTTTGACTTGTCAAATGGCAACAACAAGCAGGTGTGGGGCTTAACTTGTATTTAACATCGTCTTGTACTGTTTCTTTTCTCTATTTTTTATCTTGCATAATTGAAAAACTATCATGGCTAATATCTTCCTTGCCAACCAATTTTTTTGGACAGCTTTTCCCAAAATTGAAGATTCTTAAACTTACAAGTTGCCGTAACTTGAAGAGAATTCCCAATTGTTCTCTATATCCAAACTTGGAGAAGATGATTCTCGAATTTTGCTCGAAGTTGGTTGAGATTCCTGATTCCATAGGTGTTCTAAGGAATTTAGTTTCTCTGAATCTTCAACACTGCTCCAGCCTCAAGAAACTGCCAGATTCGTTGGGCTCACTAACGAAACTCGAGGAGTTGGATGTGAGTTTTGACAGCAACAACTATGGACAGTTGAAAGAGCTCCCAAAAAACTTGGGAAGTCTTATAAGTTTAAGGACTCTCAAAATAGGATTCAATACTAGTTTGACAAGGCTCCCATCTACTTTCTCAGGTCTTTGCTCCTTGGAGGAATTGGATGCAAGACCTTGTAACCTGCAGGGGATGATCCCAGATGACTTTGAAAAGTTATCCTCATTGAGAAACTTGAATGTCAGTGAGAATGTCTTGATGAGGGACCATTCTCAATTAGAAAACATGGATATAAGTGGTTGTAAACTGCTGGTAACTATCCCTGAGCTCCCCACTAGTTTGGTACATCTGGATGCTTTTGGTTGCGTGAATCTGCAAAGCATGCCCAAGCTATCTCATCTTTCTAAATTACACACACTGTGGATATCTAATTGTCTGCAATTGGTAGCTATCCCTGAGCTCCCCACCAGTGTGGAATATCTGGAAGCTAGTGGTTGTGTGAATTTGAAAACCATGCCCAAGCTATCTCATCTTTCTAAATTAAGAGCACTGGTCATATGTAACTGTGAGCAATTGATAGCTATCCCTGAGCTTCCAACTAGTTTGACGATTATGCGTGCTTTTGGCTGCAAACGTTTACAAACCTTGCCCAAGCTATCTCACCTTTCTAAACTAGTAGACCTGCAATTAAGTACTAGTAATCATCTAGTTGCTTTCCCTGATCTTCCCACCAACTTGTGGTATCTGGGTGTTATCAAATGGAAATGCTTGCAAACTTTACCCAGGCTATCTCACATTTCTAATTTAAAATGTTTACAAGTTTTTGATTGTGGTGAGCTGTTAACTATCGAGGATCTTCCGATCGCTTTGGAGACTTTAGATGCTTCCTACTGCCCATCGCTGCAAACTATACCCAACCTCTCTCACCTTTCTCAACTTCATATGTTGAAACTCATAAACTGTAAGAGACTGAGTGAGATACATGGCCTCAGTGGGTTGAAATCCTTGAGTACATTGCACTTGAGTGGGTGCAACCCCCAGGTTTTGAGGCGTCAGAGGCTAGAAAAGGTGCGTTACTTCCTTTGCAAGAAAACTCCTGCTCTGCTCTTTGGTTTTTGAGGTACCTTCACCTCTGTGACCGCTAAGTTCTTTTTTCTTTTTTCTTTCGTATATACAGGAAATGTTTACACCCTTGCGATCGTTATGTGTTCCTGGAAGCAAGGTTCCAAATTGGTTCACGCATAAGTGGACGATGCAGGATACCACCGAGAATCCAGATTGGTACATGAAGCAAACTGTGTCGTGCATAGTGCCAAGGGTTTCAGAAGAAGGAGGCCTTCATTTTAGACAAATAATGGTGTGCCTTGTTGTTTATTCCAGTGATTTTCGTTTCACTCACCCGTCGCATCGTGTTACGTTATCGCTCAAGAGGGAAGGTACAGAAGTTTATAGAGTTTCGTTTACAAATTTTACAGGGAGCCACGGAAATCATATGTATTTTCACCTTGTTGAACTTGGCCGGGGTGATATGCCTCTCCTGGACCCTATGGTAGGGGGAGATCAAATTGAACTCGTTAATGAATCGGAAAATTGGAAGGGTAAAATTGAAGCCAAAAATGAATTAGGGCCATCGATGACATCTCTGTGCTTTCTTTTGAAGGAGGCAGGGATCCATTTTGTATACAAACCAGAAGACACCAAGGACTCCATTTCAGAAAAACTGGCTGATTTCATCAATTCATTGTACCTTCAATGAAAATTTGCAGCCTCAGAATTTTTGGTTTAGAACTTTCGATTACTAAACTGTAATTTCTTTTTATTTAACAGATGGATTCACAAATGACTTCAATGTCAGCTGTTTTTTTATCAATAATGAAATGCACGCTTTTGCCTCCTTCCTTCCATTCTATTGATTCCCAAATGCCTCCTATAAACAAAGACTTGCTAAAAAATTTTATATATAATCTTGACCAGCACAGCTTGATTTATACTTGGACTAAAAAAAATCTAGAGTTCTCTCTCTCCTCCCATGTGTGTTCCTGGGGGCGAGCCAGCTGCTATCAGTCCTTTAAGGCTTGATATAGCTGAAGAATTTTATAGATATATGAGTTCATTAGACGCTGTTGTTCTTTTGGGTATGGCAAAGATGATGTGTTTGCCACATGTACAGAAGGTTGAGATGTCACTTTTTATGATAGTTTTGGTTATTTCCTTGTTTGGGTAGAGTAATGTGATTGAGAAATTCAACAGCTATTTTAGTGAAAAGAAATTTCAGATAGAAAGGACATTCTTCTTCTATTTACATGTCTGTTCCATTAGATCAGATATTAGCATCTTAACTTGTTGCAGGATAAAGGTCTTTACTAGCTATAAAAACCATCCATCACCTTCTGATAAAACCAGGATTCCTCTCAGAAACCTCTTCGTATAACCATTAAATTAATGGTTATACTTATGTGAAATGTGGTCCTGTTCATAATGCCTAACAGTTGTTCAATGAAATTCTAGAACCATGTTTGGTCTCATTTACAACCATCATTTTTGCTTATTCTCACTCAACCCAACCTCAAAACTGCTTAATTCTAGTAACCCAGGTGCAAATTCATGGCTTCCACCGCATGATTTTGGCTTCTCAAGCCATTTGATGGCTTGTTCAAGCCTCAAAGCTGCGAATCTAGGCAAGTAAATTTACACAGATGATCTTCTCTACTTCTAGTTCGTACCCCTTTGTCCAAAAGGCCTTGGTTGATTTGTACTCCAAAATGGTTGTTTATGGTTTTCCAAGATGTGATATTATACTATATAATGCCCATGACTGTGGGGTTTTTGAACTTTATTCATGGAGATAGAATTCTTCTACTCTTTGTGTAGGCTCTAAGGATTGTGCTGAGGCCCATTGAGTTCACATTTGTTTGTCTGTTAGAGGTCTTTGATGAGCTAAGAGAACCAGGGGAACTGGTTCAAAGTTTTCTAATTTTTAAATTGTGTTGGATTTTAATGGATTTACAGGGGGTGCTCCTCTCAATATGTATAGTAACTATGTGGACATTTCCAGCATGAGAAAGTTCCTCAACGGGAATTGGACTTAGGCCTTGACATGGCCTAGTGGAATCCGTTGATTGTTGGGGTACTCTCATACTGGCCTCTTTGAATTTGCCCGAGAGTTCTTCAGAAAGAGAATGGTGGTCGGTTTGCTCCCAATGGAATGACATTTGGGGTTGTTCTTAGAGATTGCAGTGGCTTCAAGCTATTGAACTTTGAAAGGTCACATCATGGGTTGATTGTGAAACTACATTGGAACTCAAATATAATTGCCTGCATTTCTCTTAGTGATTGATGCATATATAAAATGTGGGATTGTTGAAAAAAGTCTTCCTAACTAAATGACTGAGAAAGATGCAGTATCATGTAATTAATTAATGGGTCGGTTAGTTAAGTAAGGGGACCCTAGAGAGGCTTTTACACTATCAAAATATGCATACAAGGGCCTTAAACCCAATCAGAAAGCTTTATGGCTCTCTTGAATGTTTGTCGTTCTTTGGGGTTCACAGAAAAAATGGAACTAGTGCATGTCCAAGTGATCCAACAGGGGTTTGGATTGGATCTAATGGTACAAATAGCTTTGATAGATGCCTTGATCAAAGGTGGAGTAAAATAGATGCAGAAATAGTTATGAAGTGATGCATCAGAGAAGCATTGTATCATAGACAACAATGATAGCAGATTTTGATAAAAAGGCATTGGAGTTTTTTAGAGATGCAAATGGTTAGCGTGAAAAAGAACTATTTCATGATGTCCAGCATTTTGAGGGCATATGCAGGCTTAGCTTCACTTAGGCAAGGGAGATGTATCTATGGATATGACATAAAGAGTGTGATCATGCATGAACCTATGTTAGATATGTTGGGTTTATGTGGCCCTTAAAGGCCTTATGAGTGCTTGTAAAATGAAATGATATAGTGGAAAATGAACTCAGTGGGGGTGTGGTTTTTCGTGGACTATACTAAGCAAATGATGGTTTGCTGATACCGATCTTGCTTGACGATCTAGGCCAGTCGGTTGGAAAAAACCCATGTTACTTGGGCATGAAGAACAAACCGATGAGGGTTTATGGGTTAGCCTTTGATGAGTTAGCAGAGGGACTGTGTGACCTTTGTGTGTGGTGGTGGCCTACAGAGACATGGGCCAAAACCTCATCCATGTACCATCACATCACATGCATATCAATAGATCATTCGGGAAAGTCAGAAATCTACCTTTTAGGGTGAAGTGTTTGTATGTGCGAGAGATACCCTTATGCGTTATTGAGTTATGATCGCATAAGGTCTTGGTGATCTTGATTTGTCTCTAGGGGAGGACATGTGATCCACAGACTGGGATTACGATCCCTTAGCTCATCGACCAGACTTTGGTGACCTGCTAATGAGTCTTTACTTGGTCTGTGGGTCATGAGAAATACTGGGTTGGTTCGATAAAGCAAGTGTGGTCTGTAGTCTACAGTTGAAGGTGGAGTGCCCCATGATTGCAGATTAAATTCTTAAACCATAGTGATCCATTTCCCATCAAGTTAATTTAATTATGTTTGTTTTATGATAGAAATTATTTTAGAATTATTATTTGAATTTTTATGAGTCTTTTGATATTTTATTTAGAACTTTTGGACTTATAAAAATATATCTATTTTATAAAAGTATAAAATTCAAATAATATTTTAAAAATTATTTTATCAATTTAAAATGTATAAAAAATATCGTGGGGGCCCATTGTGCATATGGGTCCACCATGCATCAAGAAGGTGGGGCCCACATGTGCCACACATGGGTGGCACGCCCCACTCATTGGATTCTTTCTTGGATTTAAGTTATTTCATGTTTTGGTAATATTATATTATGACATGCGGTCAAATAAGATATGGAATATTTTGACCAACTATTGAAAGTGTATATTGACTTGATATATTT